TCCTCCAGTTTGAATGGGAGTTTTCAAACCAAACAAACTTTTCAAGGATAGATGGAGCATTGTAGGCCAAACTTTCCATTCTCTTGTATGATCTAGGAGCTTTGAGGGCAATGACTTGGATTAGCCCTACCATTTTTTCTTCAATTTACAAGCTAATGCATAGTAAAATATGACACTACGTACATCAACAAATTGTATTGTTCATAAAAAAACAATAGACAAAAGATGCCACATCTCATGGTGCCGTGTTGCCTAGGAATCACATGCTACCTTTAAGAGGCAAGAGGGTTAAAACAGTCCTTTCATCCACAAAACAAGACCCAACTAAGGCTGTCTCTTTCATCGTCCCAAACTCACGATCCAAAGGGCGCATTCAAACCCCATTTTGCGCGTGGCAACATGATGTGGAAGGCAAAAAAAGCGTTCGTTCTCGACGACACAAAACACACAGAGAGAGAGGAGCGACCGCGGGCCGCATGAGGGGGTGGCCGATGGGTGGTGGAGGGCTGGCTGGCGATTTGTTGGTTTAGGCGCAATCAGCGAGCTGTCGTGGAGGCAAATCCAGCGGCGCTGTCCAAATCACACACGATATCTCGATGGGCTCTCCGCGAAAGAAAGCGATGAGCGATGCTGCTTCGCTGCAACATCCAGCGGCGGCTCGCTCTAACTGCCCATGCTGAGCGACTTTTCCTCTCACGATCGATCGCCTCCGGCGACCACGCGATCAACTAGGCAAGCTGTGGTGAAGGCGGCACGGCGGGCGTGCGCGCAGACCAAGGTCCGCAAAGCGCGGGCGGCGCGCATGGCGTCTTGACAATGGCCGGACGGCCAGCGATGGAGGTCCGCGTGCCTCCGGCTCGCTCCTTCCTCGCTGCGTCTCGAAAGCTTCTAGCGAAGTTGGCCGTAACGTGATCTAGCGGAAGGAGGAAGAAATCAATCCGTCTCGTGACCGGCTCGGCTCATACGCTAATGCCGAATGGAGGAAGGAAGAGGGCGCTTCTGCTGCGCCCGACGGTTGGAGGAGGGAGTTTATGGGTCACCGACCTTTTCCACCACCTAAATCGTGAGAACAATATGTTCGAATATGTGGCAATCACCTGATCATGCGCAATGAGGCACTTCTTTCACCTGTTGGTCCCTATTACACTCAACTTTCTTCTCTTACATGTGGTCCCATATAAATAAATAAAAAGATATATGAACTAAAGAAATAGACTAGTTATTGTATTCCTTAGGCTATTAACTTATCTATTGATGATTTGATTAGCTTATAGCCAACTTTTATTAGGCTTGCTCAAATAAATGGGCTTGTTTGGTTGGAAGCATGAGTGAATTGCCTAAGAATTGCCAAACGTGTGTTTGGTTGGAGGCACGTGCACGAAAACTCAAATTAGAAAAAGGACTTGTTCCAATTTTAGATCACAATTTATTTATATTAATATTATTTTCTTGGTTCACGTTTAAAGAAAATTTATCCCTAATACTAAAGAGTCAAAATTTCTAGTCCCTCTGTATTTTCGTCCAGCCTAATTAATCCTAAAGACCCCTCCCGCACAGCATCGGCCTCCTCCCGCAGTGTCAAGTATTGCGCGTCTAGGGCGCCAACCACGACGTGTTCGGCCCGGACAGGAATCAGAAACTGTCCCCCAAATCTATACCGACGATTTTCCAAACCGAGATTGAATCCAAACCCAAATCAGATCAGACTAACTCTAGAAGGACAGCAGCTTATATATAAAATCAAATCAATAAATTTGCGGTTTCTTCTGCGGATCTCCACAGCAATCACCAAAAATCAATAAATATCGATTCCTTCTCAATCCATACACGAATAGATCGAAGAGAAAATCAAAGAAAGAAATTGAATCGAGGAAACCAGACAAGGAATCCAAGAGGACATCAGACGGGGAAGCGTCGCGAGGCCGCCTGGGGCGCCCGTGCCGTGACCTCCGTGCCGCCAATCAGGCCCGCCAGCGCCGCCACCTCTGCGTTCGACGGCCAGGGCGCGTGCGCCGCTGCCTCCGCTCGGCCAGGCCAGGCCTGGTCCGCCCACCGCGCGCGTGGCCAGGGAACACGAGCCGTCACCTACCACCGCGCACGCCGGCCAGGGCACCCGCGCCGTCACATCCCACCGCGCGCGCGGCTAGGTGCGCCACTGCCTCCTCTAGGCCAGGCCAGTCCCGGTCCGCCCACCACGCACGCGGCCAGGTGTGCGCGCGTCGGGACCGCGCCCACCGATGGAGAGGACCGGAGCAGCAGCACCCTGGGGTCCAGCGGCGACATCCGATTCCTAGACGACTCCCCGTCTTGCCAGCGAAGCCGACGAAGAGGCGCGGCACGTCGAAGAGCTCAGCGCCGTCCCCGCCCCAGCCGGAGGAGTCCGAGTCGGATTGAGCACCGTCCTCGGCAGCATCGCTGGCCGGCCAGCCTGACGCGGACGCAACCTCCCATAACCAGTGGGGTCAAGAAGAGGGCACCCGCCGCCGGTAGCCATGAGGAGGAGATGAGCTGGGAGGGGAACAGAACGGGAGAAGAAGATGTGAACAGAGATGCGGCTCAGATCTGGGTGAGATTGAGGCTCTGGATCGGATTTGGATGGATTGCGAGAGGTTCGCTGGAAGAGGAGAACGAACTTGTGCATCGTGCGGGAGTGTTCTAGAAGAAGGAACGAGTGAGAGCACCGCGTCCGCGTGGGTGGTCATGGCTGGAGCTCGGCGCCAATGACTAGGACGTGGTTGTCAACCTCGGCGTTATAGCGGTGTGACACACTGACACTTTGGCTGTGGCTGTGTTTAGGTGGTTGAAATTTGTAAATTTTGCTATTGTAGTATTTTTATTTTTATTTGGTAATTAGTGTTCAATCAAGAATTAATTAGGTTTAAAATGTTCGTCTTGCGATTTTCAACCAAACTATGCAATTAGTTTTTTTTCGTCTACATTTAATGCTCTATGCATATATCGCAAGATTCGATATGATGGCTACTGTAGTACTTTTTGGGAATTTGGTTTTGGAACTAAACGTGGCGTGTGTTTAGTTCCCAAAAACTCTTCCAAAAAGTGCTACAGTATCCATCACATCGAATCTTGCGATACGTGCATAGATCATTAAATGTAGACGAAAAAAACTAATTGCACAGTTTGGTTGAAAATCGCGAGACGAACGTTTTGAGCCTAATTAGTCCATGATTGAATACTAATTGTCAAATAAAAACGAAAATGCTACCGAACAAAATTTACAAATTTCACCCAACTAAATACAACCTTTGTAGGATGTGGGCTCATGTGAGAACTGGAGAGAGGGATGCTGGGAGTGCAGGTGACGAGGTGTTTGGCTGATCCAGAACTGAACTGATTTCGGCTGATTCAATATTATTCTGTGAGAGAGAATAAGCTGAAATAAATTGAGGCTCACGAGGAGAACAGACTGAGTTCAGATCGAATGAGCTCGATAATGGTCAGTGGCGTGGGACACAAATCTCGAGGAAGATCAGACCGCCATCCTAAATCAACAGCGGTGGTCTTGGTCTAGGCGTGCTGTGTTGTTGCAGTCAGCTGTCATATACGGAGTAGCGGTGTGCTGCCCCAAGTGATGCCAGTGACTATTGGGCACAGGCGCCCGGTGCATAGGGGCATGGGCTCCTGGTCTTCCGCTGGAACTTCGCTGACTCATCGCGTCTTGCCAACGCTCCTGTACCAGCCAAGAACTGGAGCCTTGAGCCCTGGACACGTCCATAGAGCATTGTTGTGCTCTAGGAGTTGCTGTTTATATAGCCGGCTAGCTTGCATGATGACTCTCTAGCTGTTTACAGGTAGTAACTTCGTCCAAATCGTTGGACAATTTTACACGTACTTGCTACAGTAATGTACGCCCGGTTAGCTCAGCCATGCTTATCAGTCATCGATACATTATTTTTCTGTCACAATAAAACAGCATCAGCCAGCTTATAAGCCACAGATACGATCGAAGCGAGGTGGTATATAGCAGAAACCTATGTACTTCTTGCATCACAAAGCATAATGAAAAAAAGTTCGTAAAGACACTATGAGTTGGACTTCGAAAAAAGTCATGTCATATATTTAACACAATCACGTTTAATTTACAATTTTAAAATTTAGTACTCTGACGATGACAATGTGGTTCCAATAATCACCACTCGATGCATCGCACAAGCAATTTTGCTAATAGCTCTAAAAACACTAAGAAAGAAAATATATTAGTATTACATAATATTTCCATCTCCAATATTTATGTCTATGGAAAAAAATAAGGTAAACCGAATTTACTATTGTAAGGATTGTTCTATTGACTTAATTAAGAGACCAATAGCAAAAACAAAAATAGTTTATTCCCATGCACTGCGTCAGAAAGGTCTCCAGGGCTTTTATCTAAACGATGTAGATTCAGCATTTCAGCTTTATAGGCAAGCTCTTTTAAGCCTCATTAGTCAGGCATATCACTTCCAGGTTCACGCTCAAACACGCCCTCAACTACTGTGGTGTTGCCTGGGACTCATGCTAGGCGAAACTTCCAGGCGCAAAATAGTCTTTTCATCTATCAAATGAGACCTAAATAATAAACTCTGCATCATATAGGAAGCGGGAAAAAATTCTAGCCCACGGAGGAAAGCGTGTTAACTTCCAGTGTCATATAGGAAATATTCTACATTTGATTTGTCCGCTGTCTTGGACATCCAAGAGTATTTGGTCGTTCCGTAAATCAATAACTTGCATGGCCAAGGAAAAGGTGACGGTAATGTCAAATAAGGCAGAAGGTTAGAGTTGTCAAACAAAAATTCAAAAAAAAAATCAGGGTTACATAGTTAAGCACGTTTTCTTCCAGTCCAAATAAGGAATTTTCTCTTGTCTGTGCACAATGGAACATGATGAATGTTCTTCGTTGAAGTATACACCGCCCACCATAACATGAATGGATTCGTTGGTATGGTCTTCAGAAATGCTTCAGGATGACCAGAAGGACGTTGAGCGAGCAGGAAAATGTGTCATTTCTTACCTTTTCGTGCAAGGTAGCGCTCTCGAGCTGCCTGGATTTTACTGTCCACCTCAGATTGTTTTACATCCATGTCTTTCTTCAACGAGTTTACTTGCTTATTCTCTACTAGAAGTTCAGAATCTTTCGGTGCACTCGAGCCACCACTGCAATGAGATACCAAAAGTTGACTTTAGCTACCACCAGGTTTGCTGGATCACAGTTTGGAAATAATGCTTATAATTCAGAAATTTCTCACTTTACCTTAATCTGTTTACATCTAATTTCTCAAGCTTCTTTAATATAGGCTCAACCCAGGCTTGCTTGACGGCACAGATATTTCTCATGTATGGACGAGTTGTACTTATCAGCTCATGATAAATAACATACATTGGAAACTTCCCATACTCATCACCTTCCAGTACAGAAGATGGATGCACCTGCAAAGAAGTTCAACAAAATTCTCAAGCAACATAATGTGAAGAGAAGTCATGAATAAGTTTGATTAAATATGTGATTAAAAGCTTGATTTGTGTTATTTATACCACAACCTTTGCTCAGATATGATTGAGTGTGGCACTGTGGGTGTGCTCAGATATGATATGCCTAACGTTTTAGTATATCTAAACTACTATGAAAGAGGGCACACTAGCAAGCAGCTTGTTGTCAAGATGTGGCACACCAAGAAACAATTTAAGTAGCTATCAGCAGTTTCTTTGGCTCCTATGTCCAGTAGAAACAAGGGACAAAAAAGCATGCAAATTTTCACCTTGAGTGGTGCTGATCTTATAAGTATAATAATTTCTCGGATATGCAGGAGTGCTGTGTATCATTTTTTTTGAAAGAAAAGGCAGGAGCTCTGCCGCTCAATTAAGTATAGGAAAGAGAGTGTTTTATGTACACATGGCACCCATTGGGCCAATCACACCGGTCCTAGACCAAAGTGGATACACAGTGCTGTGTATCATTACATTGAGAATAAAGGAGAGTACAAAACACAAACACCACCCACCACACCCTCACCCAAATAAAGTTACAAGTACAATAATGGTTAAGGATTATTCGTCTCCCTCAATTTTCGGGCAGCTCAACATCACAATAAGCTAAATCTGACAAAGAAATTACACGATTACATACCTGTACAAGTTGGGTCCTATAGCCAACAGTATGGTAGCCATTGTGATGCAGCATCCTCTCAGCTAGCTGGTTACCATATCCTACGCAGAGAGCTCTCCTCAGCTTTCTATAGTCAGGGTCACTCTTCCGGCTTTTCCTTGCATGCACATCAGTTGAACCTAAATTTAACAACATTTCAAGTTAACTTATGTGGATCTGTTTTCCCGAGATGACACTATAGGAATCAAAGGACACTTAGGTTTAAAAAAAACATGGACAATTTACAGCAATCCCACTAAGTGACAACTGATGACGCAGCAATAAAAAATAATGACATTTGGCATTTCCAAATATCACATTTCTGTGTGCTTTTTTAATATCTGACAGACTGACCTTGTGCTTACATTTCAGCAACAAGCAAACCTTAGTTGAATGACTAAGCCAAAAGGGCGCCTAGCTCAAACGGTTAGGTGACCCAGCGGCACTCCTCAGGTCCTAGGTTCGACTCCCCGTGGGAGCGAATTTCAGGCTGAGGTTAAAAAAATCCCCTCGTCCGTCCCCATAACCAAAGTACTGGGGGGGCACCGGCCCAATTCTCACTTGGGCAACAGAAAGCCACCGTGTAAGGGTGGGGGCGGGGGTTCGGGGGTTTTCTCGGCCGGGTGAGAAGATCCTTCTTCTTATTTGTAATGCTGCGGGGGCAGTCTTAACCCCCCCGGTCGAGTTTTTTTTTTTAGTTGAATGACAAAAAAAACCAGATATATCAGATAACTAAAGTGAGCTCTGGGCATTTAAGGACTAATCATGAGCATTAGTGTATTTCCCTGAGTAATCACTTGTTACATCTCCTTAGTTTCTATTTCCATTTATACAACCTTTTTGTTTTTTTAAGCTGGTATTAGGATCAAGACAAATTAACAAAACCTACAGTTTCCTAGACTCTAATTGACCAACAGAGGGCACCTATGCTACCTAAATGGCAGTTTTGAAGCACCTCTTTTAGGTAATAATCCTTATAAAACAATATAGGAACTACTACTAATACTATTAGAACAACAACAAAACCTTCTATGGGGTGCATCATTAGTTCAACCTATGAATTTGGTAGAATGACCTCATTCCCCGTGCTTACACTAATTATTAGCTTGTGAGGGATGAAGTTGTGATGGATCAACTCATTCAATTCCACCAACCAAACAAAAATGTAAGGAGTGAGAAGATGATGAATCACCCCCATTCTCACACCAAACACCCTATTAGTCCCCAGTAAGTAGGGGTACACTAGAGTTGAAACCCAACATGAGCCATCAAATATATAGATGGCAACAATAGTGATATTAATAGGGGATTTAAAGCCTATTCATGGTCCAGGCATGTGAAGAAGTATTTTCTACAATCCTATCAAAACTGAAACTACAAATTAGCTTATGAAGACGAAGCTTAAAACAGTTTCAAAACTAGGCATGCAAGTTTCGCTTCCTCTGGATAAGTGGGTCGACCCAAACTCATTTAATTGGACTAATCCAGATTTCAATGCAACAGAAGTGGGATGAAAATGAACTAGCTAGCTGACGCACTAGTCTCACCACTTGCACTACTCTATCACTGATCTTTGGAAGGGATCTGCTTTATCATTGATTTAAGGATTGAAGATAAAATAAAAGCTAGAGAATTGACCTTTTGCAATTTTTTTAATAATCTGGCATAGTTGGTTCCTCACATCTTTGCTCAATTTCATACTCCGCACCTGCAAAAGATGGACAATATTAATACATATAAGGTGATAAAAATATAATTAATGTCTTCAAAACATATATATTTGATGCAAAAAAAGCGATTAACTTGTTTAATAAAGTTGGGCCATTTTCATTTCGGTAAATGCAAGCATACAAATATGGTTACCAGTGTTTTAACCTGCTGCATTCCTGGATTTAAAATTTTAAAGTTCACAATTATTTATGGTAGGTGTAAGTAGTAAATCATAATATGACTGGAAAGCTGAAGGAGCATGGGCAAAAGTCACAAACAAGAATACAGTAAAAAGTTATGATAGTAGAATCCTTTCAAAAATGTTAGGAATTATCATCAATATGATGGCCGTAGAGTAGCCTTATATGGATATAAAGTTTTCTTTCATAAATGTGTAACCCAATCTTTCAAGACTAAAAAATAAAAGGCACATGATCCTTATATTTGGACAGATAACTGAAGATTATATATTGTTTCTAATCTTATAGATTCTGTCGAGCATTCCCTTTTGTACTGAGAAATCAGATGAAAGTTACGGGCATGATTTCAATCATGAAACCACACAATGACAATCATGAGGGTATTTTGTGGAAAACTCAGGTGATGTCTTTTGTTCCTTGTCTTGAGTAATCGAAGATGATTGCATCTACTTTACTAACTACGCTAGCATAAGTCTTGTTTATTAAATATATTAGAAACATGTTCTTTTCAGTCACCTGCAACTCATGATCAGAGCACCATTTTGGATCATAGCCAGATTGGTCCCAGCTTTCGAATATCTGAAGCAATTGTATATGGTCACCCCAGCCAGAACCATCAGGAAGCTCCTGCCTTTTCCTCTTTCCATCCATGTCCTTGCTGTGTAAGTTCAGGTTTTATATCATTACACATGAATTTTAGTAAAGTGGATGAGATGAGAGGGAGGGGGGTCACCTAGCTGATCGCAATGTGATTTCTGCTGACAAAATCGAAGCAACAGTTAATGCCTGAGACAGGCATCCCAATTCATTTGCTTCAATCAAGGTCCTTGAAAGAGACGGTTCAAGAGGGATCTCTGTACAAATTCTATCCTTAGACAACCAAATTAGGAGATTCAAAAGTGAATGCGCCCAAGTAAACTTATCCCATATCGGCCCTGTTTGTTTCCGCTTATAATAGGATTCTCGGTGAAAAAGCCAGAATCCCACCAAATGCTTCAATTATTTCTGATTTGTTCACTGCCGCTTCAGAACTTTGAACTAGCACAATCGAGGATCGAAAAAAAAACCACAATACGATGATTATAAGCGGAAACAAACAGGGCCATAAACAGTTCATAAGTTTGGTCCTTGGTAGCTGAGGTGTTACCAGCATTTTCACGATTAAAAACTCAAATAAAAGCTTATGTGGTGCATGATTGCACATCAGAGAAAATATAAACATTCTACAACTACTTCACATAAATGTTCGCTCACTGCTAAATTAAACTCTACTCACACAACCGCAATTAAATGCTCCTTTTAGGATCCCTAAATCGTGATCCTATGTGTAGTTTATTGTCGTAGTCTGTTAGCTACGATTCGTGATTCCATTGTGCTACAAGAACTTGTAGCATATTACCAGGTGCAAGGAGGCAATTGAACCAACTACTTATATCATCTGTAATGTGAAAATTGTATAATACTATTAATACCCCATCACTATGCTCATAAAGCAATCAGCCTTGCACAAGAGAGGGGGCCGGGGGCAATGACATGTTTCTGATTAGAATTACATTGATGCATGGAATATTGGAATTACTCATTAAACAGCAATATTAACATACATTGCATTATGCTTGAGATGTACGTAAAAAAAAACTCGACCTGCAGGGGGTTATGACGGCCCCCGGGTTTTCCTTTTAAGAAGATCTTCTCACACAGATCGAGAAAACCCCCGAACCCCCGCCCCCATCCTAACGCAGGAGGTACCGTTACCCTGTGAGAACCGGGCCGGGGCCTTCCACTGCGCTTTGGCACATGGGGACGGACGAGGGGATTTTTTTAACCTCAGCCTGAAATTCGCTCCCACGGGGAGTCGAACCCAGGACCTGAGGAGTACCGCTGGGTCACCTATCCGTTTGAGCTAGGCGCCCTTTGGCAGATGTACGTAAAGAATTCAAGGTATGTTAACGTAGCAAGGTATAAACCCCAAGTGATATATGCACTACGTCCCCTGTTGCTCAATCAGTAAGGATTCAAGTACACAATACTAAAGGCAAAAACTAGAACTGAAACTGCAGAGAATTGAAACAAGTATACCAAAAAGCTCATGACAAGCACATTCAAAGCTCAAGATGACAGCACTATATTATAGTCATGTGCAACTTATACGGTTTGATACTTCAAAGTAGAGGGATGTTTTATATTAGATTTGCCCACATTTTAGGTTAAAAGGACAAAAAAAAGGTCTGCAAACAAGAAGGCTTTGAACAACCATTTAATTTCAATGGAAACAAGACAGGCTTGGTATACCTGCCATAACTCGTCCAACATCTGTTATTTGCCCATTTTCATCAATTGCATCAATGAGGTATAATTGCCTCAAAGCATCTTCTAATGACTCACCTGCAAACCATTTGTGAATTTAAAAAAAGCTGGCAGAAGTCACAACATAATTTTCAATTGTATTTATTTCAAGGCACCAAATGGCTCCCCTTTTGGCTATTTATATCTTTTGTAAGGACAGTTTTGCACATTCATGTTATTGGTATAATGCCCATGGGCCAAGCAGCCCAGCACCCCAGCCCACCCCAGAGACAGTAGCCACCACCTACGTGTTGCAGCAACCAGAGGGTGCGGCTGGCATGCTGCAACCTCCATACCCCTCAGATTCAGGGCCGCCAACAAGTTATCAGTACTAGAGAATATGTTTCAAAAAAAATCAGTACTAGAGAATAAGAGACAGGCTTGTGACGAAAGCTTGAATTGAATTAAACAGGATGGATCATATCTATAAAAAAAAACCATATTTTAGATGTATCCATATGGATTAACCAGAAAAGTGATTTTTCCTCAAAGTTCCCTCTCACCCTCCTTTGCGCTGCCACCAGCCCCTGTCCAAGCTGAAGCCACCGCCAATGTTCACCAAGGCTGGGCAAACCATCATGAGTCGCCAGCAACGAAGCCCATCGCGCCACCATACCACCCATCACAACTACAACCTCCAAGAGATTCCCTCCCCTAACCAGCCCATAACAATTCAAAAGTGACATGAGTAGAGTCGTCGCAAAAGTAGTTTCTTCACCGGACTTCATAGTAATAACATAATTTTGCAATGCTTTAGAAAACAGTAAGTACAAATTAGCCATCGAACTCCGCACATAATAAGTAACTAGACAACAATTAGATGCATCTGATAGGATTTCGGATCCTACCGGCGAATGGTCGGAGGTTGTAAGGGTGAGAGATCGGGGGACGAGCTCGGCGACGGCTTTGAGGCGCCGTCCTTGCAGCTGGTCGCAACAAGGAGCGAGGAACACGACGAAGGCGCTACAGTACCGCGGCACTGTTCACGGGAGAGAAAGAGAACTCGGCGGCTAGGGTTTCTCCCGGCTCCCTTCAGGAAGCCGGAAACAATAATATGTTTCTGCTTACCAAATTAGTCCCTGATCACAAGTATTTATATCGTCTATTGAAATATGAAAATAACCCCCTGATTCTATAGAAATTATCTCGACTTAGCCACTAATACCCTTTTGCCGGCTATAATACATGCCGGTCATAACATCTCTCCCCGCCTGCGCAAACAGCTCGTCCTCGAGCTGAAAGTCGGGGAAGTGAACACGGAAATCCTCCAAGGGCTCCCATGTAGCGTCGTCGTCCGTTAGCCCACGCCACTTGATCAACACATGCCAGACTCCACGGCGCTGCTGCGCCCGTAACGCCCGAGCCGGCTCCGGAGACAGCCGGCCATCGACGGTCGGCGGCAGCGCGCCTGGCAGTGCTGGCGGCTCCCCCCGATGGCGCTTTAGGAGGCTCACATGAAAGACATTGTGGAGCCGGGCACCCTCAGGAAGCTCCAAGCGGTACGCAACAGCGCCCACGCGTTCCAGGACCCGGAACGGCCCGGCGTAACGCGGCCCGAGCTTGTGCTTGGCGCGGGGGTCCAGCGACTGCGTAGTGCGGTGAAGTAGGCGCAGCCAGACCCAATCGTCGACGGCGAACTCGATATCGCGGTGGCCAGCGTCGTAGTACCGCTTGGCGAGCTGCTGGGCCTGTAGAAGGCGTTGACGAACCTCCGCGAGAATGTCGTCGCGGCCACGGAGGAGGGCGTCAGCAGCCTCCGTGCGCGCCGTCCCCGGCTGGTACGGCACCATGGGCGGTGGCGGGCGGCCGTAGACGACCTCGAACGGCGACACGCGAAGGGCGGTGTGGAAGGAAGTATTATAACAATACTCCGCCCACGAGAGCCAGTCCACCCATGCGCGAGGCCGATCCCCTGTAACACAGCGCAAGTACATAGCAATCACCTTGTTAACCACCTCGGACTGGCCGTCGGTCTGCGGGTGGAACGCCGTGCTGAGGCGCAACTTGACGCCCGCCATCCGGAAGAGATCACGCCAGACATGCCCGGTAAACACCGGATCCCGATCACTGACGATGGATGTGGGGAATCCGTGCAACCGGACGATGCCGTCGAAGAATGCCCGAGCGACGGAGGTGGCCATATATGGGTGGCCCAGCGCAATGAAATGCGCATACTTCGAGAAGCGATCCACCACCGTCAAGATGACCGACTTGCCGCCCACCTTGGGGAGGCCGTCGATGAAATCCATGGAGACGTCCGCCCACACTTGGGACGGCACCTCCAAAGCTGCGCAGCACCCGCGAAGTCGTAGAGACTCCGTCTTGTTGCGCCGCACACACCTCACGAGACCGCACCCAATCTTGCACCAGGTACAATCGCCGGAACGAAGAAGTCGGAGCGAAGGCGGTGGAGAGTCTTCTGGACGCCCTCGTGCTGGCCGGAGTGGGCTGGCCGAGAGCACTGTGGCGCAGATCACCGTGGTCGAACACGAAGATGCGGGCGCCGTGGAGAAGCGGCCCGTCGTCCGGCGCCCGAGCGCTGGCGCCTCATGCCGCCGCCAATCGCTGCTGCAGCAAGAATACAGCATCGACCGCCGTCACGAGCCGCTTGGGCGGATGTCATCGATGAAGGCGAAGGAGGGGCCCGAGATGGCGCACGCACGACGGCGCTTCTTCCTCGCCCGAAAGTCGGCCATCGACTTCGGTGTCGCGGGCGAGACAGGCGTCGACCACCGTGTTGAGCCGGTCGGTGATTCGACGTGAAGTCGAACCCAAATAGCTTGTTGATCCATTGGTCTTTGGGTACCGTCGACGACGCCGGTCCAACAAAAACTTCAAACCGTAATGGTCGGTCATGATGAGAAAATGACGACCCCGAGAGTCGGGCCGCCAATGGCGCACCGCTTGCACCAAACCAATCAATTCGCTCATACGCCGCTAGCTTTAAGTGACGAGCCGCGAAGGGCGGTGAAAGAAGCGAGGGCGCGGCGCTACGATGCGGGAGACGGCACCAAACCCCACGCCCGAAGCGTCGCAGTCCACCATGAACAACTGGTCGAAATCCGGCATTTGGAGGACCGGTCCGGTAGTGAGGGCGCGCTTGAGCGCCTGGAACGCCTCCTCCGCCTCAGCGTCCCACACAAACGCGTCTCGCCGCAAGAGACACGTAAGCGGGGCAGCGATGAGTCCGAAGTCCCGGATGAATTTCCGGTAGTAGCCGGCGAGGCCAAGGAACCCCGGAGGGCCCGGGCGCCACGCGGAGGGGGCCACGCCGCGACGGCAGCCACCTTGTCGGCGTCCATAGCGACGCCCGCAGCAGAGATGACGTGGCCAAGGTAGGCCACCGACGCGTCGCCGCCGAGAACTTCGAGCGCTTGAGGTGCGGCGGTGAGCACGCAGCGTTGAGGACGATGGCGATGGCGATGTCTTGCAGATGCTCCGCCCGACGATGAGTCAGAGATCGAAATGTCGTCAAAGAAGACGAGCACAAACCTTCGCAGAGCGGTCGGAGAACGTCATTCATCGTGGGCTGGAATGTCGCCGGAGCATTGGAGAGGCCAAAGGGCATCACCAGAACTCGTAGTGCCGTGGTGGGTGCGAACGCCGTCTTGGCGATGTCGTCCGGGTGCATGCGCGCTTTTGGTGGGTAGCCCGAGCGCAGATCGAGCTTAGTGAAGAATTGAGCCCCATGGAGCTCGCTGGCAGCTCGTCCACCACCGGATCGGGAACTTGTCCTTGGACGTCTTGGCGTTGAGGGCGCGATAGTCGATCTGAAACGCCACGAATTGTCCGCCTTGCGGACCAAAGAAGACCGGGCCGAAACGGCGACGTCTTTGGGCGAATAATCCCCGAGCTAGCATATCGCGACACTTTGGCGCTCCACCTCATCTTCGAGCTGCGGGTACCGCAAATGACGGCCGCATCGCCACAAAGCGCGTCGCCCCCGGAAGGAGATGGATGCGGTGGTCGTATGAGCGGGGAGGCGGAAGGCCCTGAGGCTCGGCGAAGATGGCGGCGTGCTGCTGTAGGAGACGGTCCAGCAGGGGCTGCTCGGAGACAGCCGCCACTGCCGCAGTGGGCGCCTGCGACGCCGCGTCGGTGGCACCACCCTCGCCGCGCCAGACGATGCGCCTGCCCTGGCGCCCGAACGATAGCGTCATCGCCTCGAAGTCCCACAAGAGAGGACCCAAGGTCTTCAGGAAGTCGACGCCGAGGATGAAGTCAAAGCACCCCAAGTCGAGGCCGACGCACGTGATGGCGAAGGACTCGGACCCGACGACGAGGGGTACGTTGCGCGCGATGCCCACACACGGAAGTCGATCTCCGTTGGCGACGGTTACGCGGAGCTGAGCACCCCCCGAGGCACAAAGACCCAGGCGGCGCATGGTGGCACTCTGAAGGTAGTTGTGGGTGGAGCCGGTGTCAAGAAGCGCTAGCAAGCGCACGCCCTTGATGGAGACCCGTAGCAGCATAGTGTTTTCCGTGCGGATGCCGGCCACCGCATGGAGGGACACCACCAAGGCGTTGGCTGCTGTAGGTTCGGCGGCCGGTTCCTCCTCCGCCGGGTGAGGCTCATCAGCCGCCGCGTCGGCGGCCAGGAGGTCCTCGTCAATGTAATCATCAGCCTCCAAGTAGAAGAGCCGCGGGCACACATGGCCACGGACGTAGGGTTCGTCACAGTTGAAGCAAAGGCCCTGCCGGCGACGTTCAGCCATCTCCGCCGGGGAGAGACGACGGAAAAGGTCGAAGCGCCGACCATGGCGCTTCTTTGGTGTTGGTCGGCGCTGCTTGCAGCGGCCGGCTTTGCCGTAGCCTCTCTCTCGGTATGGCGGCGGTGGCGGCAACCCTACATTGCGCTGCAGCCGTGGTCCCCGGGAAGGGACCGGAGGAGCGACCGCCGCGGCGCGACGTTCAAATGCCCTGGCGAGGTACATAGCCGTCTGGAGATTCTGCGGATCGCGGAGCTCGACATCCACCTTGATGTGCTCGGGAAGACCACCCACGAACAGCTCCGCCTTCTGAGGTCCGGAGATGTTCCGAGAGTGGCAGAGTACCGCGTTGAAGCGCTGCGAGTACTCCTGAACCGTCGACAGGAAGGGCAGCCGCGCCAGCTCGGAGATACAAGTATTCCGCACGGCCGCCCGAATCGAGGTTGCACAAGGACTGAAGCGATCCCAAGGCGGCATGCCCTCATCTTGTTCCAGGCGTGAGTACCACGATCGTCTTTGCGCCCTTAAGATGGTAGGGCGCGAGCCACCCGGGCCGGACGCTAAGGTCGCGCCGCTCGCAAAAAACTACTCCACACCGATTGAGCGATTCGGCGGGTCCTCGAGCCGCCATATGTGGCGAACTCCGCTTGAGAGAACTTGGCGGTGGCCGTCGGAACGGCGTCGTCACCGGCGCCGCTTATACCGCCGCCGGCTGCTGCGTCGGCGGCCGGCGAACACTCAATGACGGTTCTTTGCCGGGGCCGCCGCCGGATGAGAGTACCGCCCATGCCGCCAGTAGAGGACGCCGAGAGACCGACGGGCGGCGTGGAACGCCGCATGCAATTGTATCTTGGCCGAGTATGGAAAGGACGGTGCGCGCGCGTCGTGGGCGATAGATCGGGGCGACGTGGCCGCCGCCCACGCCGGGATCGGGACGGGCGAGGAGGGAATTGGATTTGGTGGATGGGAACAGATGGCGTGCGGGGTGGGGGTGGTTGGGCGGCGGCGGCGGCATGCCATCTGGTACGTGATTGCGAGGTGGGCGTTAGCGCGGCGAGGACGGAGGTGGCGGCGGCATGGGGAAAAAAGTGCGAAGCGGCGGTACGTGGTGGTGATCGCCGGGCGTGGAGCGCTTCTGGAGGACGCCCGCACCTCCTCCATGGAGGCTCGCATGGCCGCCATGTTACGGCTCAGCCCGGCAATGGCCACCGAGGTCTCTGCTCTCGGGACAGAGAACGACGGAGCGCTTCGCGCCCACCGAGTGGGCGGCGATCGCCCCGAGGTCATGGGGGCGCGAAAGCGAGCGAGGGAGGCGGCGGCGATGAAGCGCGGCGCGCGGCGTGGACGCGGAGGGGAGGACGCGGGTGGGTAAAGCGAGGCCGAGGGCTGGGGACCTGACATCTCTGATACCAGATTGATAGGATTTCGGATCCTACCGGCGAATGGTCGGAGGTTGTAAGGGTGAGAGATCGGGGGACGAGCTCGGCGACGGCTTTGAGGCGCCGTCCTTGCAGCTGGTCGCAACAAGGAGCGAGGAACACGACGAAGGCGCTACAGTACCGCGGCACTGTTCACGGGAGAGAAAGAGAACTCGGCGGCTAGGGTTTCTCCCGGCTCCCTTCAGGAAGCCGGAAACAATAATATGTTTCTGCTTACCAAATTAGTCCCTGATCACAAGTATTTATATCGTCTATTGAAATATGAAAATAACCCCCTGATTCTATAGAAATTATCTCGACTTAGCCACTAATACCCTTTTGCCGGCTATAATACATGCCGGTCATAACAGCATCACAGGCAGGTCCAGAAGAATAATTGAAAAAATAAGAATCTGAAGTTTTATCTTACGTGATGGTGGATCTAGAAAATCAAACTTCAGTATGTTGATGTCTGGAAGATTTAACGATTTCAGATACAGAACACTTCCAGCAAGAGAAGAGCGTTGAATTTCAGGAACTGTTGCCTCAAGAAACTCATTCTGATATATGGAAATTGGGTATAGCCTATAGCACTTGCCAGGCCGAGTTCTTCCAGCTCGCCCTGCTCGCTGATCAGCCTGCACTCTAGTCATTCAATAAAATTATCAGTACAGGTTAGCATCCAAAACTAGACATATGAATGGAAGTAATATGATAGTGAACAAAGTGCATAAAAAAAAAGAGAGTGCATGTGCCAAATTATATACCTGCTGATTTGGACTACATCAAGTGAATACATTCCACTTGATGGATTGTATTGGCGCTGCTTTACATAACCACAATCAATCACGAACCTAAAGAAATAAGAAATTGTATTGTTAATATCTTTGTGCAAAATTAGAAAAACAGAACACCTCATGGGAAAAAAGATATACAGCCACTTTAAGTTTTCAACAACATTGTAAGAAAAATTCCGAAGCTTGATAGTCACAGTCGGGCAGTTGCTCGCTCTCCTATATGTCAACAGCTAAAGTTTCCTGTATCACTTCATGGATCCAGATTATCATATTTCTAGTTAAAGCAACCCCTCTTTTCATAAAACTATCGTGTTCATGTGAAATTCTGTTTTAAAATATTTACTAGTGAGGGGACCTACAGTGAAGAAATTTATGTTTCTCCACACTCCATCCAAGCTATTTTAGAATGTAAAATATCTTTGGTGACTCCAAAATGTCATATGGAGCCCAGGATGATTTAATCATGATAAATATATCTAAGATTTTAGTTCCACCTTGGTCTGTAGACATCAAACTGTTGGAGAACTACCCGAAAAGTAGTACTCAGCAATTACATATAAACAAAAACAAATCACATTAACAAGCTTGCTGCATCAACTTTAAACAGTTCTGCATGCACTCACAAGTCCTCCAAATAAATTTTGACATATAAACTACATGTATTTTAGACAGTGACACAATTCTCAGGTTGCAACAGCTTACTTGATTTATAAATAACTAGCGCAGTTGATAAAGCGGAATGAGTTGTATGAAATTAATGGCTTCACAGACAAATGAGTGATGTTTCAGATAAACATATCTTTATTCTAAATAATAAAGTAAATATGTCAGCATTTCTTATTATATTAGCAGAGTAGTTCATGTCGCTCCATTCTATTGCTAGCATATTATTTTTCATGCATAGTCACAAACAAGTCAGATTGCAATGTTCACTCCATTTAAATATGATCTGAAGATGGAAACAAAAAGCACATGCTTCTCAACTGATTATGTTTGCTTCTTACACGACACCATCTACAGTCAGTGAAGTTTCAGCAACATTCGTTGCAACAATGAAGCGTCGGCAGTTTGGATGTGCAGGAGCAAATACCCTAACCTATATGAGAAGTGCGCAAAATCAGAAATGCTGGCATGAAATGTTAAGCAAGAAAAAGAAACAAAACTGAAGGATTGCAGAGCTATCAAATCAAATAAAATAAAAGGTACAGTATTTATCCTGTAAGACTACATAAAGTTTGGTTGGAAAGCTGAGAGGTGCAAATCAAATGTGCAAGGCTACGAACTTGCCTGCAGCTCAGGTGGCAAAGAACCATGAAGAGGAAGGACAAGAGCATCAATGCAGGAGCCTTCCTCAAGATTTTGAATTCTTTCCTCCAATTTTGAGACCATCTTGTCAATATCATCCTGCGCCAATCTCAAATAATCACAATTCAGCATAAGCACTCAACATATTTAATAAAAGAAAAGGAATAGACACTACTCGAAAGGGGAGCTGCATAAAGAATACACATTAGTAAGTACCAATGACAGTTACCTTTACAAGTTTACCATAAAATAGTTAATTAATAGTTAATACAATATAGGTTTCCACATTAATCCAACAAGAAAAGAAAACTAGAACTTCTTCTGTTAATAAAAAAATAAATATCTGCAAATTCCTAAATTTATATTTAGTACTACACCATCTCTCCAAAACAAACTGATTTGTAGAAAAAAGATTTATCCCACAAAGAGTTGATTTTTAGACTGACCCCACTGACTCCTCGAGAACAAAAGCACACATTTATGACCCTCAATCCTTCACCCCACCACTCTGGTGCAACAACAATTTTGGTCTTTTCCCCCTCCATGCTATTTTGTCGGAGATGTGGGTCTTTTCCCCCACCATACTATTTTGTCGGAGATGCGCTAGAAATTAACTTATTTTGGGACGGAGGGAGTACAGCTAGAAAATATAAATTCCTACATTGATCACAAAACTACGTTTAAATAAAGAAACTAGAAATTACATTGTTAATACAAGGAAATAGATTTGATCAAGGCCATGGTAATTGGCACGACTACAGAATATACTTACAGATTGCAAAAAGAGAAAGGAAAAAGAAATAAACAATGACATATCTTGAGGTACTGACCTTTCCTGTCATAAATATTAAGACATCCCCAGGAGGTTCCTTGGCATGGATATCTGACAACAAACATTTTCTGTTTTGTTAGTGAAAGAAATGAAATTTTAAAAAGTTTAAGGTACAAAAAATGCATAACCTAAAAATTTAAAAACATAAAAAAACTAACTATAATATTCCCATATGTGGTACCAGAAAAGAGGTATGAGACTTTGAATCATAGTCTCGTTAAAACTCTCTATTTCTATCGAATACACAGGAGATCTGCGTATCATAACCATGTGCAACGACCAAAAACTACATCTGCATAATTCAGATTTTTTTTCAAGGTTTCCAAAATATAATGCTAAAAATGAAGAAAGTGCCTAGGTTCAATTGAATTGTTAGGAAAGTATCAGGGGTCGTGAGACCCTAATATTTGTAATGATATTCCACATTGTTTTATACTCAGCTGTAAAGCAATAAAGAGAATTTCTTCCTTGACTCTTTCCTCCCTATCGAACAACTTCATAGTAAAGAGTGTCCAGGGTGAAGGGCAGCAACCCAGTTTCCTTCTTACCACTGTAATGATCACTCTTATTCATGCCACATGACAAAACAACCCATGACTTTTGTCATAAATATTATCTCTATAACTCTATTAGCAATTATTATTAAGTTTCTGACTAGTGCAAAGCGAAAGCAGGAAAAAGATGCACTAACAATATTGGCATGACCAAATCCCAAAAGCTTAAAACTGCAAAAGGTTACCAAAAAAAAATGCTTCTTACCTATAGCTGTTCTGAGTGAAGATTCTATATAATTTGTTGGGCGTTCAGTGCTGTAAAATCTCTCCACAGGGAACAAAGTTCCAGGTATGTTTAACACAGGGCATCCTGAGAAGAACTTCGAAACTTTTAAACCGTCAAGAGTCGCAGAGGTGATTAGAACTTTTAAATCTGAAGCTCGGTCCTTGATCAATCTTTTCATCAAACCTAAAAGGATATCACTGTAATGGCATAGCCAGATAATAAGTATTAAAATGAGCCCATGCAAACAGTTTGCATAAATACCTACACATATCATCCACTGTAACACCACTCAACTGAAAAATAAGAGAGCAACACTGAATATCTATCATCATCCCAGAACTACATGTTAGCCTTCGGTTTCTTCTCTCCCACTACAACTGCGGGGCGATGTTCAAGTATATTTGGTAGTAAGGGATATTGTAATCCCGTATTGCCACATGTACGTACTACACCGCAAGACAAGAACTGCTACAATAAAGATAAGTAGGTGCGCCAAATGATCTGACAGACCCTGAACCTTTTATCTATAAGAATCCTATGGTAGAGCAAACAAGAAAACAGAGTATATGACATGCTAACGCTGACATGTGTCCATATTATAGTAGTTGACACAATTGTCAAGTAAACGGATTGGAAAATAGTGGCCATGAATATATGTAAAGAAACATGCTACCAAGCTACTTTCAAATTGACTCAGGTAGAAATAATTCAGATATAAATCACCATACGTGTTTAAACTACGCTCATGAGCTTCATCCAGTATGATTACTGAGTATTGCTTCAACTCAGGATTTGAAAGGCTTTCATGAAGAAGAACGCCGTCCGTGAGGTACCTGTAAAAACAAGTAAGAATTTAAATCCACGAATTTAGCATCAGTGCACCTCCAATGGTTATTGAGCTTGGTATGCTACTGTAGCTAGATTAGAAGAAATTCAAGCTATCCAATTTTTCGGAGGCTTACTTTATGCATGTTCTTTCTGAAGTTCTGTCCTCAAATCGGATTGCATAACCAACTTCATCCCCAAGTGGAACATCAAGCTCTTGAGCTACTCTTCTGCGAAATAATAAAAAAGTGCTCTTACTCACAAAAACAGTTATATACATATTTTGTACTTTTAACAACATAGTAACTGAAATAACTTTCAACAGTGATTAATAATAAAAGAACTAAAACAGAATTCCATGCAGTTAAATTGAGAATGGATAGTTGATCAACCAGGAAGGAACCCATTCAGCAAAATCAAGATTCGAGAGTAGTTGGTCCTAGTATTTTAACAACATAGTAACTGAAATAACTTTCAACAGTGAGTAATAATAAAAGAACTAAAACAGAATCCCATGCAGTTGAATTGAGAATGGATAGCTGATCAACCAGGAAGAAACCCATTGAGCAAAATCAAGATTCGAGAGTAGTTGGTAAACCAGAAGAACTACTTAATGAATCCTCACACAATAGTTCTTTCTAAGTTTTGTTTATTTCTTGCTGATAATTTCGGTAAAAACAAAATCAATGGGCTATCAACAAGGAGCTCCATTGAACTCACAGCACGAGATTTCGGATATTTACCAGGCCATTTAGGTGTCAATTGAATCCTACGAGGAGTCTCCTTTACAAAATGTGCAGTTCCAATCCCAATTCATAAACCCTTCCAACTGCGACCCACGCAGCAAAAAACATGCCTCGCGCACGTGATAGAGCAAGAAAGGTAATGAGAAGAGGAACCTGGAAACGGAGACCGCAGCGACGCGGCGGGGCTGGGTGACGGCGATGGCGCCCCGACGGGTGTATCCGCGGCGGTGGAGGATCTGGGAGAGCTGAGTGCTCTTGCCAGAGCCGGTCTCGCCGATAACCACCACCACAGGGTTCGCGTCCACCGCGGCGACTATCTCGTCCTCGTGCTCCGAGATCGGCAGCACTGGCGGCGGCGGAGATGGAGACGGCATCGCGTTCGGCCGCCGGACACCAGGGCGCTCGCGTGTCTTCTTCTCCGCTTGGGCTAGGCGCGTGTGTTTGGGCTGGGTGTGCGTATAGATAGCCAAATCGGCCCGACACGGCACGGCCCGACGACCCCATCGTGTCGTGCCGTGCCAGCCCATGGGCTGTTACCCGATTTTAGAGTTCAGGCCTTCGGGGAGGAAAGCTGGACTTTGGGCATAGTTTTTCCTTTTCCTTTCTTCCTCCCTTTGCCAAGCTCAGCTCCCTTTATGCGTCTATTGACTCTATTCCCACCGTGGGCTGGGCTGACAACCCAACTCGGCTGTGGGCCCATCGGAGATAAGTTTCGTGAGCGGAGGAAGGCCTAGTAACATCGGGTAGAGAGCCTTAGTGCCGTCGGGTCCCTGCGTGTGGATGCGTCTCCATAAAACCCCCACGATTCTACCGCCGATCATCTAGCCCGCGGCGCCGGCCACCGAGCGCAACCTCCCGCCGGAGCTGCCTCCACCGCCTCCCCTTCACGCCTTCTACGCGCTGCGTTGCCCTCTCCTCGAAACCCTCGTCCACACGCCGGCGGGTCCGGCTTTGTCGTCCCTCCGTCCACCGCTGCCGTACCATTGTAAGACCCTCGTCCTCCATATGGCAACGTCCAGATCTCAATTCCGTAGGTAATGATTAGTTTTCTTTTCCCCCCTAGATAATTAGTAATTTATCAGAGTCTGTGAGGTGTTGGAGAGCACTCTAGGTTGCGTCTTTTGATTATCTGTAGGGGTTACTACTTAGTATGTGGTTTTGACACCCACACGGCCACACCACCGCCTGTTGTAAGTCATTGGTAATGTGTAACTGCAACTGCTCAGTCACCATGTTGTTTGTTTAAACTTGCCTGTTCTTGATTTCTCTGTAGGAGTTGATATTTCCTCATGGGAGAACCGGTGCCTATTAAGGTGGTGCCCGTAAGGAAAATTGACCCTAAATTCATTTACTTTAAATTTTGGTGTTTAATGACCAATACAACTAAATTGGACTAATGAATTTGCAAGTAATTGTTTTGTAGTTCAATAGGGTGCAAGACGTGACTTGGACGAAGGCGACGTGATGATCCGATGATCAACACCTCAAGAAAGACATGTGAAGATGCATAGAAGACATACAAGGTTAAGCAAAGTCCAAACACGAAGATTGGAACCAAGCCGGACGCGAGATCGCGAAGAAACGAGCCTGGCAGAGGTGACCGGACGTGGCCCTATGACCGAACGCTCCGATCAAGTGCCAGGCAACAACAGACGTCAGCAGCTGTGACCAGACGCTGAGCAGCAGTGACCGGACGCACCGGTGACACTGTTCATCGTCAAGGCATTATTTTTAGCGTGACCGGACGTAGCGCGGCATCGACGACGGATACACGGCGTGCAAAGGCGTGCCCGAGCAACAACAAAGTCCAAGAATTGTGGCCGACGACGGCGGCGATGATCGGATGTTGAGCGGGCGATGGCCGGACGCGCCGCTGACACTGCTTCATCATCACGGGCGATATTTTAGCGTGACCGGACGTAGCGTAGCGGTTCGGGCGGCCGGATGCACGAAGTGCGTCGTCCGTCGTTCCTGAAGAGGTTCCGCGCGCGCCGTTGCGACCGGACGCGTCCGGTGGCATGTGACCGGACGCCATCAGCGTCCGATCAGTTGATCACGCCGAAGATCAAGTAACCGTTGTGAGTGACCGGACGCAGCGGCACTGGACTACCGGACGCACGAAGTGTAGCGTCCGATCGTTTCCAGAGAGGTTCCAAAGTGGTGCAGTTATGACCGGACGCGTCCGGTGGCATGTGACCGGACGCCATCAGCGTCCGATCAGTTGATCGCGCCGAAGATCAAGTAACTATTGTGAGTGACCGAACGCAGCGGCACTGGACGATCGAACGCACGAAGTGCAGCGTCCGATCTTTTCCAAAGAGGTTCTAGAGCAGCGCAGTTGCGACCAGACGCGTCCGGTGGCATGTGACCGGACGCCATCAGCGTCCGATCAGTTGATCGCCTCGAAGATCAAGTGATCGTTGTGAGTGACCGGGCGCGTCCGGTCAAGACGTGATCAGTGTCTGGTCAGTAGCAGAAAAGTGGGTTTCGTCCCCGACGGCTACTTTCTCAGTGGAGCTTATAAATAGACCCCCCAACCGGTCATTTGAGGAGAGTGCAGCTGAGGAAACATATCAAGGGTGCTGATACACCATTTTAGTGATCTCTACTTGCATAGTGCTTAATGATTCATTAGGTGATTAGCGTAGGTGCTTTGCAAAATGCTTAGGTTGATTAGACCATCGTTATGCGCTTGCTCTAGATTTAGGCCTAGTGTTTAGTCAGGTTTGCATACTTCTTACCACTCGGTGATTGCGCGCACCATTATTGTACATCGGAGGGGCTTGTAGTTTTGCGAGATAACACCAACCGCGTTTGTGGTGTGGCCGCCACCGTGTACCGAAGGGAACAAGGCCCACGGCGGTTTGGCCAGAAGCTTGATAGTGAAGACGGCGGGAAGCGGTCTGGGAGAGGCTTGCCGGAAGATATACCGGAGACCCACTTGGGCATGGGGAAGGCCCGGGGCTATCCACGGAGTTACCCGACCGGGAATTTGGCCGTTACGAGGGATTCCTTGCGAGGAGTTCCAACAAGGACTAGGGGGAAGCTTGCGCGCTTCTCGATTGAAAGGACCTATGATGCCGCCTAGAGGGGGGTGAATAGGCGTTTCTGAAAATTAACACCTTTAAATGCGGAAACAATTAGAAAAGAGAGTTTCCAAAATGGAAACTCCAATTTAAGAGTAATACCACCCCTCACAAGTTAGCCACAGAGTAAACAAGGTATAAAGAATATATCTAGAAGCTACAACCCTGCAACACAAAGTTAGAACAGAGAATAAATATTTTCAGCACAGAGCTCTAATACCGGACGTGTCCGGTATACACGATTTCTGTAGAGCAGCCCCGAACTTGCTCCTTTCGATTTCTATCTTCAAACCAAACTGCAGGCACCTTCTAGAGATGACAATATACACAGAGAACCTGCACAAGAGCTGGAGCAACACAAATATCAAATGAAATACGAATTGAGACACGATATTTATTTTACCAAAGTTCAGACTCGTTCGAGTCCTACTCTCCATTGAGGGGGCTACGGGCGACCCAGTGAAGGTCAGCCCTAGAGGGTACCACGAAGGTCACTCTAGCCGGAGTCTTTTCCAACACCTTTTCCTCCTTCCACTAGTTGATTCCAAGGCGGCGGAATCGACCGTTACAAACTTTTTGAGGCACACCACAATCTCTTAGGTGCTCTCCGGCGACGCCTAACCGTCTAGGACCGAAGAGTCCAAGAGTAACAAATGTGAATCATGAGATTGACAATATGCACAAGTGCTCAAGTGGTTGGATTGCTCTATTTTTGAATTTCACTCAACCCACAATTTGATTTGGCAAATTTGATCAATCACTCACTAAGAGAGGGTTTAGAAGAGTTGGCAAGGCTCAAAAACGTGTATTGTAACCAGCAGAATCAGCAACCTCCAAAGGTGGAGGCTTGGGGGTATTTATAGCCCCCTTGAAAAACTAACCGTTTTATAGCCGTTGCCTATGACTTACACTGCCCTAACGGTAACTATGTTACAGTGACAATGTGAGGCGTCGGAACTCCCGATGAATGTCGGAACTCCCGACCGTCGAAACTCCCGACTCACGTTGAAACTCACGACCCTCAGCATATTTAAAAACCATGTAACTAAGTTAAAGTATGTGAGGTGTCGGAACTCCCGACTCATGTCGGAACTCTCGGTCCTCAACGCTTTTGAAAACTAGTCGTTGGCCTCTGGTCGTCCATACTGGACACGTCCGGTATGACCAGGACAGTGAACCATCTAAGTCAGTTAAGCGCGAGACGTCGGAACTCCCGACCATTTCCAGAACTCCCGACCGTCGGAACTCTCGACGAACCAACCCAAGAACAATAATTTTACCACTACTGGGCAAATACCGGACACGCCCGGTATTGATACCGGCAACGTCCGGTATTGCCAGACCAGCAAAAATAAAGTTAGCTCTTTTGTCGCTCAAATACTCAAAACTCACATGGGTTGGCATGAGCACTTATGAATAATTATCTATCAACATGATGCACCCCTCTTAATAGTACGGCATACCTATTAAACTCAAGATCAGAGGAAAAATGAATTTATACCACTTGAGTTGATCTCTTCTGAATTGATGCCGTCTCTTTCAATCTTCATCAAGTAAGGGTGCTAACATGTTGATATTGATCTTTTCACTTGAGCATAGCCATCTTGAACACGTGACTTGATTCCATTCATCAAATTTAAATAATCCTAAATGTATCAAGCAACTTACATCAAACACTCCAATAGTGATTTGATCCTCCACATGAACATGCACATCATAGCTTGATTAGTACCTCAACTAAATGCAAGTACTTCCTTCTTCACCCTAGCAAGGTTCTTCGGCCGCCAAGCCGTCGCTTGCCCTTCACCCTTGCTTAGTACCTCGAAGCCTTTCCTTGCTATCTTCACCATCTCAAGCCATCAAGTCACATCTTGTGTTGAATCATCCATTCATGTATTGTTATCTTTTTCATTTCAATTTAGCAAACTTCAAATATGAGACCATTCCATATGCAATTCCTTATGTCTCATTAGTTAATTCTTACAAGCTTACTTTCACATAGTACATGGAAATCCCACAATAAATAAGCATTTGTATGAATTCTATTTGCATTGTTGTCTTATGCTTGAACTAGATTGTTTATACAACAACATATCATTTTGGCTTTCATTAAGTACCTGTGAGATAACCTATTGCCTATCCACACTTAGCAAACGGGTTAGACCTTTAATCACGTTGGCATTCACTCATCCAAAACCCACTAAAGGGCTAGATGCACTTTCATCGATACCTCGATAAAAATACCGGAGTCGTCAACAGGAGTTTGCAACACGTAGCAAAACCGTAGT